ATTTTTTGTAACATTGCATTAAATTACATGAACGATATTCACACCAGGCCAAAGAGTTTGGCATTTGAATCCCCATATCCATGTGCTTTTCCTGGGGGGCTCCCGTTTTCCTGCCGCAAGCTGAAGGCATGTAGTTTAAATGAGTTGTTATCTCTAAATTAGCCATAATGGTACTTGATGGGCAGAAATACTTAGTAATAACTCAGTTAATACTGAAGTACAAAGCATGAACAAAGCATGAACAAATTTAGTCTACTTCAGATAAGAATTTAGTCTACTTGAGAATAATGAATATGAAATTTCTTGTGTTATTCATCACATGTTCTTTCAGTAGTTCCCAAAGGTTTATAGAGTTAATATATATAGTAACAAATACAGTAACTGCTTGGGATAAAACATGCATCACAATTAATTAATGATGAATTAACATGAGATCAGTATGTATCTAAGACTTAGTTTGTGGTTAATTAACACATAAGTAATAGCATAATGCTACATTATTTGTGCCACGAGGTGAAGTGTTACCTCCATAATATGTGTAAGATCTACGATGGACTGCAGTCACATTAATGGCTTCCTCCATCTCCTGGATTGGCTCCTGTCTCACCATGACCCAGCATTAGATAAGCAGTTGTGGAAAATGGATGGAGATAGGGAGATGTTTGTCTGCAGATTGCAAATGAGGCTTTTAGATTCAACCAAAGCATAGTGTTTTCACATTAATCTTTTTTTTTTTTTTGTGTCGCTGGATGGTTCTGTCAGACGTGCTTTTGTACAGGCTAAAACGTCAGCCGCACCTGTAGTTAGCGTGTAAATCAAGCCCATGCATTCTGTGGGCAATCAGAAACACACGCCGCCAAAAAATTGAGCGGCACCGTGGTCGCAGAACGAAATTCTGAAGATGTCATTTTAGTACTTAGTGAGTCAGTGCAATTTTTATAGCTGCTGTGTTTCCAAGCTTCTCCACTGAAAAAAGGGTGCAAATGTCAGATATCATAAGAGATCTTTAAGACATTATGTTCAGGAGAATGTGAAAGAAGGGTTTGCCTATTGATCTGACAACTTTTTGGTGAGTTTCTTGTTTGATATTTTTTTTTGTGTGTGTGTGCGAGTAAGCAGCACGGGAAGAAATCAGATCTCTGCAAAATCTTTCACCTAAAAATAACCTGTTCATTTAAGTCTTTGGTGTAACTGTCAGGGCAAACTCTGTTCCTGAGTCAGAGACCTTCTCCACTCAATTATCCAGTCAATTACCCAGCAGTCCTGTTCAGCAGAGCAAGGCTGGGGAAGCGGAGGGGGGGGTGCTGTGCACTCCTGAATACTCACTTTGGTTTTTGCCTGTAATATTCGCTAAGCCCAGCAAATCTCTGCACACATGCTCGTTCGTCTGTTCCAATGGGACTCTGCCGACGCTACTCTGCCTAGCAGCCACCCCCATCAAGGTTACTTTGGAGATCGACAGACTCTGGACCTGGACGTGCATTGTGAAATGGAGGTAAGGGTGAGATTCCCTTCACGACACCCCTTGGTCTGAAGGCACATTTAGCAGTAAGCTATCAGAGGCCTTAATCTCACCAAGATGTCGGCACCTTAGCATCTCGCGTTACATATTAGAGTTCTCATTCAGTTCTGAAAAGCATCATAAGGACCATGTCAGGCATTTTGCCATGAGGGAAAGAATGCAGTTTCTGCTGCAGAAATCAACGCCTCTCTGCCTTGTCCATCTGGATGTCAGCTGAGGGGAAATAGACTCTCTCCATGGCATCCCGTAATTGTGGTGCTTGAAGTAAAGCTTCAGGGTTGAAAAGAAATGTGTTCATATAATCCCCGCCAAACAGGAATAATAGTTTTGCATGGGGGATGGGCTGCAGCCTCTCCTGCCTGAATCACGAAGGGAGGGCGCTGCTTTTTTTAACTCGCTAAAAATGTTGACGAGTCTGTGAGATAAACAACCGCCAACGGTTGGAAAAGGGCATATTTTCCAGGTGAACGGCTAGATGCATCAGACGCTCATGAAGGGGAAACGTTAAAAAAAAACATACTAAAACTAAAAAAAGGGTACATGGAGGATTGCCGGTAACTATGTTAGCCATCAGAGGTACATTTGGCGAGTTTTAAATAACCGAGTCGAGGAGATCAGATTTTAGCCGCCGCGCTGTTGCAGCCTGGCTGAAGGCTTCCGCTCGCCTGGGTGGCTCTGTGGGCTGTCAGGCCTGCAAACGTAACACGTCTTATGCTTATCTTGGGAGAGGGATAAAGAGCCCAGCTGTGTGGAATGGAGAGCAGGCAAGGAGCGAGAGAGAGAGGAAGAGAGGGAGTGAGAGAGAGAGACCTAAAAAGCTGCATGTCACAGGCATCGACGGCCACGTAATCACAATATGCCCAGACCCCCGGCAGCAGACGGCCCAGGAGTTTAGGTAAAGGCCCCCCCACTTCAAGGCGATGCCTATCCAAGGACATGAGATGCAAGAGATAATGTCTCCATATGTCACTCATTTCTAACTAAACTGTCAAGCAGAGGCAAGGAGAAATATTGGAGCTCTATACAGTGATTATGGCTTCAGTTATAAAAAAAAAAACCCTACCATCCCATAATTTCCCTCCCAGAACTAATTCCGGCCTTTATCTTCTCATTATTAAGGTCAGCTGATCTTCACTGTAAAAGGCAAGTGTCGCTCCCCAAATTGCGGTGACAACTGTCAGTATTTAAATAAGAATTTTTGAAGTATACATGAATTAATAACATTATGTGAGTGCTCAAAGATGTAATTTACCTTAAAGTGAGATAATTTTTGAAGTGTTTAGTTCTTTTATGTGATAATTAGTAATTGATGATGCATCCTAAATTCTTTATGAAAGTCCCCCCATATCTGGTTTCCTAGCAACAGTGAACTGCAACAGAACCAAATTATGTTCTCAAAAAGAAATTATACACCTCATTTTATATTTAACAATAAGGGCTTACAAGCTGAGAATATTACAATGTCTTATTAGCACACCCTGAAAAGTTTTCATTATGAATGATTAAAAACCATTTTTAATCACATCATATTTGTTCAGCGGGTGATTTCAAATATAATTTTCCATAATAAGCAAAAGAACAGCGTTTGAAATTTGGTGTGATTATAATTTGAATGTTCCTATAAAAACAAATATACCCATATGTAAACAAATGAATTTGTATACTGAAACCAAATGTTACAGGCAACTTCTAGTTATCTCTAAGAATAAGTTGTGTTTTAAGTTGTGTTAAAATAAGATACAACTCTTATTTTTCCAGCACATTAGAGAGAAACAGGATGTGATATTTTGCACACATTTGCAAAGATGCTTATAAAGGCTCATAACCAGGCCAGTGATTAAAATATACTGGTATTTACTAGATACATGCACTGTCAGCGTATAATTCTGTATTTGGAAAATAGACCATCATGTTTGTAAACACATACTAAATCTCTTAACCATATGAACTACCTTATATTAAGTTGTCAAGACTAAACTTTGTCATGCCTACTTTGAATACAAAATTGATATAACTTTTGCTCTCATTTATTTTGCTTGTGTATTTTTGCTGATCCCTTCATTATGCATGTGGAATGTGGCTTGTGTCCACTCTCGATACGCCCCCCCTCCCCCCCCAAATCCCTTTAACCCCCTCTCCCATTGTCACGGTCCATTATCATCTCCACAATACAATAAGTTGGTAATCTAAATGAAGGTCATGGTTATAGCATATATTTGGATCATGTGCATATAATGTCCGAATCAGTTCCCTCGTTGGCCTTTCCCAGGATGCCCTGTTTGGACAGCATGTGCATTTCTGAGGACAGATAATATATGTAAGCTTTGTGAAACTTCATTGGCCTGTATGGGGCCATATGGCCTTAGGGTTAGGGTTAGTTTTAAGGTTATGTCTGACACCTGCTGATGGTCCCTGGCTTCAGTCTGCTGCCCTGTCCTTTTGCCCGCAACACTGATGGAGTGAATCACACACGAGGAAATACCTCATGGAAATAAAATCTCAGCATTGACTACTAAAATGCAGGAAATCTCGCTCAGCCTCTCTGCAAACCCCTTTGACTCCTGTAATCGTCTAAAAACTCTTACAGGATTTTCTTGACGATACAGTCAGGTAACATAATCCTTGTAAAGCAGAAAAACATAACGTCATAGCGACCAGCTAACTGTACACCTTATGGGAAGTCAGCTGGGCTAGGATGTAACTCCGTACAGACTAAAGAAGTTTCACGGCGCCTGCATATATTATCTGTCCACAAATTTTAAAGTACACACTTTCTTCAACATTGTTCTGAAGCATATTGACCGTTTGTGACATTGAATCCAAATCCTGCTGATGGATTTCTCATTGCTTATCACCAGGTTCTGTGCAGCTCTGTTACTGTATCTATCGTCCAAAAATCCTCTTTGAGCACTGGAAGCACCTTGACGAGCCGCAGCAAAACAACCTTAGTCTTAGTCTTAGATCTAGAGTTTTTACAGCAAACCGTGGAACAAGATAATTGACATGCTCTGATATGGCATTTGCGGGAATATCTGTTTGGGTTCAGCATGTCTACCTTTTGGACACAGTCTTCATAATTCATAAGTTTCAGAATAATGCTTTCCCTGCAAAATGCAGAGCCATAAGAGGAAGTAGTGAGTGGTCAGAGCATTTACCCTAATCAAGTCTGGGATCACTGAAGATGTCAGTCACCCAGCTTTCTGATACATGTGGTTCCTGCTCCTCACAAATACTCAGGTCTTTCCCGGTCTATTATGAAATGAAACTTTATTTGCCATTTGTATAAATAGAGGTACACTGGGAAGTGTTTTTTCACATATCTCACCTTGCTCTTCATTTTTTTAAGACATACACACAGGTTGAGGTGAGAAGGCAACCTGGGATCTGACATCCATCCAAAACCCCTGTAGCACTTTTCAAGAGGTGAAGGGTTGTTCTCAACAGCCCACTGACCGTATGCTTACTCTGCCATGCACAGGATTCAAACCAGAGGCTTTCTGATCAGAGACACAGAAGCCTACCCTGCTGATCCACTGGCGAATGCAGAACATTTCCCCATAATTCGTTCTCACCGGCTGGATCGGACCATGCACTTTCAAACCAGTTGTGGCAGTAAGTATGGAGAGTTTATAGAACCAATAAAAATTCTGCTCCTCCTCCATAAACATGATCGAATCTCTGGCTGCAGATGTACCTTCGCTTTCAAATGGCCTTTGGGACATTGGTACAACCTCCACTCATATACATTCTAATTTCCTTCATTCCTTCACTCCTAAAATGCACTGCAAACCCAGCAGTTTAAATGCTCCCCCTCCGACACACACACACATTTCTGAAATCCTCTAACGTCACTGCCTACCACCCAGCAACCATGAACCCTGGTAGAATTATAGCTCTCCTGCCACGTGCCACTCGCCATCTGCTCGCTGCCAACGCTGCCAACGCTGGCCCATCAATCTATACCATGCACACATTCTGCACTGATGAGGACACTCACATCGCCCCCTATCTGAGGGCCACAATGGGCTCCTAATTAAAACGTTCAGCTGCACCCCTCCCCCACCCCCGCCACTCGGGCTCCAGCTGCACCCACGACGTCACTCCCGGTTCGGGATTCTGGCTGCTCTGCAGGTGAATGGCATCTGCCTCGGCTGCCAGGCTGCAGTCCCACCCAGCCTCCCCCTGGAACGGCCTCATCTCACCCCCCACATCATCTTCACTGACGCCCCACGGCCAACACAAGCGTGGGAACACGCGGAGACTCCAAGATCGACATGGTATCACGCAGAGATCTCTTTGTACATCAAGCTCCCCACACAGAGAGGGCTGCTTCCTTCTAAAACTGCTTCTTCCAGTAGCTGTACTCATTCACCTGGTGTTTGCTTCCCCCAGGTAACCAGCCTGTCACTATACATATACACTATACATATACACTATACATACTGTATACACTATACATATACACTATACATTGACGAATCCTTTCCAGCAGGTTTCCCCTTCCTGATGCCTGATGGGAAATATGACCTCTCTTCTACCCCTTGACTGTAGCATTGTTGGAAAATGCAAAGTTCCATTCAAAGCTACATGTACATTGTCAATGTTTTTTTGCCACAAAGGTCCTGTTTGCCTCAGGCGATCAGATCATAAGTGGACACCCAAGGCACATGGTCATCTGCACCTGTGTTTATCGTGTGTCTCCTAGGCGACCAGCTGGCTCCTTATGTTCAGATATCATTACCGCCTATGTCACTTCCACTGGAAGGTCAAATGGCCCTGCTGGCGACGCATCAGGATGCAGTAGCGTTTACACTACAAAAGATCAATGTGTCCCAAACACATTGAGTGCTCGGATCACATTACATCTTGATGGTAGGTTATGCTTGTAGTAAATCCTGCCCACTTGCCATCCGATTGCCCAGGATGCATTTTAAAACCAAGTGTAAATAGGGCCATAGGGTCAGTAATGAGATGCTGTAACCTACTGAGGAACCACCATTGATGTTTTTCCACGCGTTCACCCCTCAGTTTACCAGTTTATGATTGAGGTGAGCCTGGATCCTATCTAAGGAAGCACAGGGCAGGAGGCAGGAGGGTGCGCATCCCCGGATGGGATGGATTCGTATTTTTATCCAGGTGAATGTGTTTCTCATACAGCACCCCAACACAATTTAAAGCTAAAGCAAGATTATCTTATTTAATCAATAAAAACAGGATTAGATGCTTTGCACTACCTTACTTTTTCATGACTATTAAATCGGTGTCTAAGTTATACTAAGACACATGCATTTTTAGCCTTATTAATAAGAACTATGTATCTCAAATGAAAATGATCATATTATCCAGCATGCAGTTTAATTACAACAAAGGATTAAATCAATTAGGCCATTAATTACTTCTTCCATAATCATGCACACTATGTCGTACTGACATTTAAACATTGGCCAGGTTACCATGACAACATGCTAAAGCTATTTTAGGGTAGACATCAAACCCTGGGAGTTAAAACAGACTCTTGTTAATTCAGCCTTCGGTGTAAGTCTGGGGATGTTAGCAAATTTGATCATAGGCTTTGATGAACATGATTTTTATGCTGTTTTTGAGAGTTATGCCACATAAATTTGAATATATGTTGTACTACATTAATGGAACAGATATTGCTGAATACATCTGGCAACATTCAACCCTTTTTTGTGTTTTTATGCTTTTTTGTGTTTTTTTAGGGAATTATAATGAGGTTTGTTTGTATATGCAGAGTCTGAAAGGTACATTTATGAATATATTAACCTATGAATTGAAATAACCAGGCTTTAAACAAGGCTAAAAGCAACTGTGAACACTATATATAAATATTAATATGTATTTAAGCGCAGGGAAAATATGCAGAATTATTGCCTTAGTTTTAACATTTTAGTAGTGATTAGTTTCAGCAGCACATTAAAATTTCACAAAATATCGAGAAAGGACAATTTCTTAAAAATGGGAAATGCACTTTTGACAGTAAGTTGCATGACACTGACTTGCAAGTCAAGAGTTTTTTGCACCCAGAATTTAACATCTACATATTTTATGGGTGGGTGGGGGGGGGGAAGACAGAACAGTGAGGTTATGAAAGGAAAAGAATATCCTAGAGAACAATCACACGAATGAGGGTAATGTGAACAGCAGCACGCCTGCTCAGACTAATTGGAATAAGTACTTATTAAGATTCATTTAAGATTAAGTACTGTCTTCCCCCTTCTAAAACAAGAAAAAAAGGTGTTAAAATATATATTTTCCCCATAATTTTTTTGGGCAGCAGAATTCAATATATATCTCCCAGTTTCCATTTTGCAGGTCAAGAATTATAGATTTCATAACCCACTGTGGCCAGAAAAATGAAAGAATGCTTACAATTAATATGAATATATTGTCAGTGCCATTCTACAGCAGTTATAGAAATTTAATCATCAGTGTGAGATGTGACGTAAGAATTCTGAGTCGGCGCTGAGTCAATGTTTTTAAAAAGCTTCCCCACCAGAGGGGTTTATCCTGGTATTGAAAGGTAGCACCTTTGCTTTGACTCGCTCCCCTGACACAACATGGGAGACTGACTTTGCAGTTTTCGGAACTGCTTTGAGTGCAGGGCCAATATCACCACTGGGATGGAATGAGGGCCCAGTATCAGACTGGGGGCTGCAGTTTCTGAGTCACCTGCTGCTTTGGACAAGCAGACGCCAGAATTCACCTGGAAAAACAAACCCACGTGCTAATAAAGCAGCAACAGTAACAGAATAGAAATTAGTGATCTATAGTTCGAATAGATCTGCAATCGGTATGGAAATTAGGTACAAAAACAGTGTATAAATAAGTGAGACTCAGATCACCTCAGAAAAGGGAAGTGATATATTTATTAGTCGGAACAGGATGTCTTTGATGGTTTAGTGTTATTATTTTATGGCTAGTGTTTTTAGTCTATAACAACCTGCTATTTCTCATATTTATACATCTGACTATTTTACTGACTTTCTCAGGAATATTTTTTCATGAAATATCATATCCATGAAGACAACTACTCCTGGAAACCAACTTGAGAATTTTATAATAAACGTTTTTAACACGGGTCTTATGTCTGTTGCCCTATCTGGGTTTTCATTATCATTAAAATCTGAAAAGCTACACATTCAAACATGCACCCTACTGAAGGGTTTAAATAAATGTCTGCAACAATTCACTGTTTCAATTCAAGCTGCATTTCAGATGGCTACACATTTAGAAGAAGAAAATATTTCTGTATTCTTCATGACGCCTCACATTGTCATTGAAATGAATGCATTTCTTTAGTTCATGTCTTATGCAAGATGCCTGCAAATATTTTTAATGCATGTGGACAGTACAGATTTTTATATCAGATATAAACGAAATCAGCTCTAAATGAACCCTTCCCCAATAGCTACACAAAGTTATGTCTAGTTCTATACTACTATTAGGTGCAATTGTATGTGCCATTATTGTGTCGGGGAGCTAATTAGCAACTCGTTTAAATGAGAATGATATGTTCCCCTATTGCCCATATCAGAGAGCATGCAATTTGCATTCATCAGACAGTTCTACCCTTAGTCATACTGTACATATACCAGTACATGCGAGACATACATTAAACTAGAAAATGAATCAATACAGGGACATAATCAGTAATCAGCACACGTCCAGTGCAGGTCAGATAGTGTCAGATATAAGAGGAAAAAGCATTAGTCTATAATGAGAAAACTGTTTATATTATAGAACAATAAAAAAGCGAGTCATATAATGTCTACAGAATGAAGACGTCGTATTAAAGTGACAGTCACTGAATGTAAAAGAACATAAAGACTGGGTTTATAGGCTTAAACTCCAGGGCATATGCTTATTGAACACAGTACATTTTTTTGCACATTTATTTAACAGTAACAGTGGTCATCAATTGGCAGACTGAAATACAACTGAATCCAAAGCATGCGACTGATCCCCAGCCCCTGCAAATGTAATCACCCCCCACCGCCAAAGTCCCCAACTTTTTCTGCATGCAGAGGACTCTGCACTGCTGATGGAATTTAGGAAAAATAGCAGGGAGGCCTTGATATACACCACATATGCACTAGAAGTTCTGGTACATTCCATTCACCGTGGCGAAAGGTGCTGCGTGGAGGTGACAGCGATTGACGTCGGCCCCCGGATCTAACAGTGCTGGTAGGTCCTTTACTGGATGCTGTGGGGAGACAGGGCACTATATAATGATATCAGAGAATGTGAGCTGAAGGGCCTGGGCTGCCGATGGCGATCTCTGATTGGGCCCCGGCACTCCGCATGCTCTCCCCCCTCCAGCTATGAACAGCTCGCATAACAACATGTTTGTAAATCCACCACCGGAAATGATCCATTGGATCAGATGCATAGTGCTGATAGAGTAGCCTGCATTTTTAACTATATACAGACTGTATAACTGTATACAGAATGTATATCGCATGCAGAGAGGGTCAATGAGTTGGGTTACTTTGCAGCTAAGCATTTTAATGGCTTCCTTGAGTGATCTGAGCATTTTTTAATGTGGTGTGATTGTTGGTGCCAGACATGGGGCTTCCAGCATCTCACAAACATCTTGTCTCCTGGGATTCTTATGGGTGACAAGTGTCTAGAGTTAACAGGGTAAAAAAACAGTCAGGGGCAGTTCTGTCACTGAAAACACATCGTTAATGAGAGAGGTCAGACTTGTTAAAGCTGACAGAAAGACCACAAATACAAAAATAACAGCACAGTACAACAGTAGCATGTAGAAAGGTTTCTTTGAAGCACAACTCGTCAACCCTTGATAATGGTTTGGGAGAAAAAGTAGTCATACCTCATCCGAAATAGGTGGACCTAATAAAATAGCTCTTGAGTGTAGATTTTTAAGTAGATTTGAGGGCTTTCAGGGTAACATGCATAGTTTATGAGATGTGTGAATTATGGTGACATGAATGTGTTTGAAACAAAGAACATTGCTTTATAGTAATTTTAAAAATAGAAACTGAGAAAAAAATATATCTAATAATATCTGTAAGGAGAATAACAGACTTTAGCCAGGCAATTAAAGCTGGCTGGAGATGTTTCAGTCACATTGTCTGCCAGGAAAAATTATTCAGTGTGACTTTGCATAAAATGTGAGCCATCTGCTTCCTCTTATTCCCGATCTCCAAGCTCGCACTCGTATTTAATTTTACTCACTACTGGCCATATTTACGCTGACAGGGAAAAAGAAAAAAAGACGACCACAGTGCACAGTGTCCCCCTTGTGTCAGCAGAGTGCTTTTGAACGTGCATGGTGCATCTCGAGCTGTCTCGTTAGCTATCTGCTAACGCTATGAGCCTGTCGCTGACTTTTGCCAACTCTCTTCAGAACATTGCTGCCCTGCGCATTACTGAACAATACTCATGTAATACTGAACAATACTCATGTAATACTGAACAACACCAATAAAAATCCGAGGCAAGGAGACTGATGCGGCTGTGTTTTTATGGAAACACGCTTTTTGTCACAATCCACGGCCATACAAACATTTGCTCATTTGCAAATGTGCTTATGTTTCGATATCATGCCTCTGAAGTCTGTGAATAGCTAAACATGCAATTCAAAGCACAGGGATATATCTGATTGTGTTGCAACCAAATTCAGATTTAATAATCTTATTTTTACATAGTACCCTTTCCACAAAAAAATGTTGACATCAGAATTATAATGTGGAAAATATACATCAATTGATTGTAATTGTAACTGTATTGTTGCACTGTAATATATGCAATTTAGCTGATGCTATTTGCTAGCTGTCAGGCACAAATGTTTGTATATCTCTAAAATACAACTTATTGCTTTATTTAACTTAATATTCTCTCATGAAACTGCAATCCGAGTACTTTCATGGAATAATGCTTTTTGAAGCCTTGTTAATTTGTTAATTGAAACCATTTTATTGATAATTGTTAGTGACAAAGACATTTGGGAATACATGAACTGCTCATATCTTAAGACAGCATTATGGTCGCAGTTAATTCATGCCACTGCACCTCTAATCGCGGCCCCACACGACTCTCACACGCTTGGCATGGATTCAGTCGAGGGTGCGGCAGCCGAGGCCTACGGAGGAGAGTTGCAGCTCTACTCCAGAGCGCACATCTATGCAGGCGCCCTCATTATTTTCCAGACGAGGTCTCTGAGGTGTGCCATATATACGGCTCGACTTTAAGGCCGTCAGGTGACACTCGACCACATCGCAAAGCCGATACAGGATGGAGTTTATTCATCTCATTAAGACGGCTGAATTTTTGCTTGAAAGCACTGGCATAATTTATGGTTACTTATGATATTGTTTCACAGGAAATTCTGGTGGGGTACTAGGGGCCTGGTATACATTAGCCCTTGGGGTAACTTTGCTAAAGTACACCAGCAAAGGTTAAGTTTAAATTTAAAGGTAGCATCTGTAGAAAAAGTATATACTACTAATTATTTACATTTTGATCAAAAAAACATAGTAAATACAATTATTAAAAAGAACTTCTGTTGTCATTTATTATGGAAAAAAACTGAATTTTGTATCTGTTTCCTATTTGCTGTTTAGATCTTATTAGTGCAAAGTTAATGATCCATTCATGGGGGCTAATAGCACTTCTGTGGGGGGTGCTGCATTCTGTGCAGAATGTGACTGCTCTAATATGACTGATCCGACTGAGTAAAAGTGGGTCGGGAATGTCGAGATGGAAGCGGATGTAGTCTGGAGTGAGCATGCAGGCTTGTGCGTCGAGCAGATCCTGTGGCCACGGCGACCTTGAAACCGGCAAAAACGAAGCGGAAAAGCTGCCGAAATGAAATGCTAGCTG